TGGGGTCGCTATGAGTCGGAAACGACTTGACGGCACTTAACAACAACAACAACAACTTTAAACTCTGAAGAAAAGAAACTGCTTCAATTAATGACATGTGAGCTCTGATAGCATAGTGCCTGAGGCATGTGACTGCTAAAGAGAAGGCTGGCGGTTTAAATCCACCAGCCACCGCTTGGAAGGAAGGCTGGGCAATCTACTTCCACAGTGATACTGCCTCGGAAACCCAAGGAGGGGTCACTATGAGTCAGATACAATTCTACGGCATTGGGTTTGGTTTGGTTTTTGGTATACTAAGCAGTAAAGAAAATACAATAATGGCAGCAAAACTGACAGAAGACATGGCAAATATTGCTGTAAGGATAATTCTCCTCTTTCTTTTCAAAACAGATATATCTATTACTCACTATACTGTCCACTGCTCGTTTGGTAAATTGGAGTTGGCACCGTTACAGTGGTGATGGCAGGTGCTGAAGTCTCCTCTTCAGACTTCTCTTCTTCAATCCTTGGCACTCCTGGTGCATCAGAAGATAAGTCATTCAAAATTTTCCTAGAAAAGCAAAAAATTATAATAATTAAAATAAAACTAAAATATACTAGGTAATTATCAGTAATAGGAAAAGATTAGAAATAGACAAAGCTGTTAGTACTTAGGATGGAATTTAAAATGTAAGAATTTACAAGAATAAACTCCAAATGGATCAGGAATTAAATATAAAAATGAAGAACACAAGGAATAAAAAAAAGATGAATTCTTCTTTAATATAGGTATTGCAAAATGCTATAGCTATGACTCAAAATCTAGATGCAATGAAAGATTAATGAAAATAACTACACTAAAAAAATCCTATTGCATGGTACAGAACATCAAACAACAAAGTCAGAAGAAAATTTAAAAAACAGGGAGAAGGTATTTACATATATCACAAATAAAGGGCCAACATCGTCAATATATAAAGAACTCTTATAAACCAAAGAAAGACTGAATACTTGATTTTTAAAAACGGGAAAACTCTTAAAACAATTTACACATATCCACATGTAAAAAAAATGGTGTTTAAACATATGAAAAACTGTTCAGCCTTGGTTATAATAATAGAAATACAAATTAAAGGTACAGAGGTATTACTACTGGGCTCCCAAATTGGTAAACATAAAGTATAATGATACATTGTTGGCAAAGCTCTAGGAAAAGAGACATTCTCATACACTGCTTTCAGGAGTATAAAAAAGGTACAACCCTTAGGAAAGCAATCTGAAGACATCTAACAAAATTACTCGTGTTTATACAGCAATGCCACTTCCAGGAATTACCTTTAAGATATACTTCCACCAATATGAAAATACACATGCATAGGTTTATTCATCATAGCATTATTACAACTGCAAAATACAGTTTGCCCAACACAAAGGATGGTAGCTGAATAAATTATGGTGTATTCACATAATGGAACACTAAATAGATGTTTAAAAAAAAAATCATGGCAGACATCTATGAACTAACAGAATGATTGCCAGGATATACTGTTATAGGAAAAGGCAAACTTTAAGAGAGAATCTATAGTATGTACCTTTTGTGTAAGTAAGACAGGGAAATGTTTTTATGGGCCATGGAGTCTGACCCGACTCATAGCGACCCTCCTTGGGTTTCTGTGGCGCTATCACTATGGAAATAGATTGCCCAACCCATCAGAGGAGTGGCTGGTGGGTTTGAAACGCCAGCCTTCCAGTTAGCAGTCAAGTGCCTTAGCCACTACACTACCAGAGATCCTAGAAAGGGAAATAGTAAGATTTTATATATGTGTGTGTGTGTGCGTGTGTGTGTGCATGCGTGCGCACGCACAATTGTTTAAGAATAAAACCAGGAAGGTTATTTATAGGAGGTAAGTGGGGAAAAAAGTGGAAAGAATGTAAGAAATGGGGTGAGGGTATTTCTGAGTCACACTTGCACAATTCTGTCTTTTGGAATTATGTTAATGTTTCATATCCTCAAAAACAAAGAAAGAAAACAAGAGCAGCAAGAATGGGGAAAAATTCTAAATATATAAACAGAAACAAATATACCTTACCGTATTTTCAAATAAATAACATAACCACACAGAAGGGGGTACCTAACTCAAGTAATTTCTGACATGCTAAATTTTTAACAAACTAGTTTGAATTAATACCAAATCAACTTCAATAGTATAAACAACCAACTCTGTTCTATATAGGTCCATCCCCTCTTCTTGTTACTATCACAAATAACATACTATAGCCAATTATATCTTTATACATTACATGCCCATTAATGTAGATTTATAATTATAATTCTATGCATTTTTATGTAAAATCAAATTGGGAAAATAAAAGGAGGAATTAAAACCTAAAACTTAATTAATACTAGCTTTTAAATTTACCTATGTTGTTACCTTTATTTCTTCATATGGCTTTGAATTACTGTCTAGTATCCTTTCATTTCAGCCTGAAAGACTCACTAAAGCATTTCTTGTAGGACAAGTCTACCAGCAATGAACTAAGGGTATCCTTGTTTCTGTCCTGATCTTAAAAACAAGCTTTTAATCTTTCACCACTGAATATTATCATCATAAATCCCCTGCATCATGCTGAGAAATTTCCCTTATATTTCTAGTCTGTGGAGTACTTTTATCATGATAGGGTGCTGGGCTTTGTCAACCATCTTTTCTGAGAAAATTGAGATGATCATGTCCCCCTCCTCCTGTGTTCAATTAATGTGGGATATTACACTGATTCATTTTCTTATGCTGACCCACCCTTGCATTACTGGGATAAGCCACACTTTATCATGGTATATAATTCTTTTAATAGGCTGCTGGGTTTGGCTTGGCTAGTATTTTGTTCAATCATTATTATAGGTCTATTGAGATTTTCTATTTTTCTTGAGTTAATTTAGGTATTTTGTATGTTTCTAGAAATTTCTCTATTTCACTTAGGTTTTCCAGTTGGTTAGCATATAATTATTCATAATAATCTCTTATAATCCTTCCAATTACTTAAGGTTGGTAGTAATAACACCACTTTCATTTTTTATTTTACTTACTAGTGTCTTTTCTTTATTAAAATCAATCTAGTTGGGGCTAGATTAGATCTTTATAAAGAAGCAACTTTTGGTTTGGTTGATTCTCTTTTTCACTGATCTCAGCTCTAATTCCTTCCCTTATTCTACACACTAGGTATTTACCAATGTATCCTTAATATTACATTGGCTTTTTGGCAACAACATCACATCAGTGATAATTTAGTAGCATAATTATCTTTTGTCAATGAATTCTTAATCCAAAATTCTGTACTTTAATAACTGATTTTATTTTAAACCCAAGTTTAGAAGTTTACAACAATTATCCCCAATATTTCATCTGATTTGTTTGCATATCTACTTCCCTTAGCTGCTATGAACTTTCAAAATACTCTTCTTTTCATCAGGGAATTTATGCCTTAAGGTTTTCATTTGCAAATCTGATAAGCATGGCTTCTATATTTTCCAGCTAAATTGCCAAGTCAGATGAGACTAAGTAGAGAACACCTGGGGGACTTCCTCTGGATATAAACTAATACTATCCAGCTGGTTGTTCCAATAAAAGTCCATCTTATATTATGAAATAATCCCCATTTTTACAGCCTCACAAGCATACTGTAAGAATGTTTGCTAAATACTTGCTATGATAGATATCCAGAGGCTGGTTTCAGGAATTCATAAATTTAAAACAAAATAATGGTACTCCACTGAGAAGATTTCACTATAAGAAAAGATATCCTTATCTTTCATGAAAGCAACATTTTCTCTACAAATCTATGGTCTCACAGTATCCTGCATTTGATTATTAATTTAAGGTTTTAGTATTTAATGACCTTTGCTAGGATTTAGACTATAAGCCAATCAAGGAAAATAAAAGATGCACTTTCTTCAACACCAAGCTCACTTGATGAGCTCTATGGCTAAAATTTGCATATAACTTAGAATTTTTATATTTAAATATATAAAAAGAAATCATTTGGCTTGTTGCCTAGTACCTGGTGGGATCTGCTTCAGGGTCTAAGGCAGTATGTATGTATATGTGTGTGTGTGTGTGTGTATATATATATATATATATATGTATGTATGTATGTATATACACACACACACACACACACTTCAAAGTCAAAATCTAACAGTACCTATACTTAAAAGAAATTATGAGTATGAATACATACAGCATATACCCAGGAACATAAAATTTCTTAAAACCTTAAATGAATTTACTGATACTCATTTAGGATGTTTAATGGTGAGGATAGAGAAAACGGCCACCTTAGTAGCCAAGTAGGGGGGAAAAAATAGAATTTAGCCTAATAAAAACGAAGAATTTTTTTAAAGTTTATTTAACTCTACAGTAAGATTAGGGAAATTTGTAGGATTGCCCTTCCTGGAGATATCTGATACAGAATAACTTTCTAGATATAAAAAAAATGATTTTAGTCCAGTTCAGAGGCAAAACACAGGCTAGGTAACTTCTACAGCTGAACACAAAAACCACAGCAGGGTTCCCTAAAATTTGGTGATGTCAGCAAAACATTATCCTGAAATAATTATTAAATTAACCAACAACTATCTGCTAAGTAGATAGTATAGTCTCAGAATTGCCATATAACTAAGAAACTACTTTATGCATATCATGGGTATTTCAAACTTTTTAACAGAAAGGAGCAGCCAGAACAATCTACAAAAAAAAAAAGGAGCACAAGAAAAGTTAGTGTTCTAGGATTGTTCACAGGAAGAAGTACTCTTACTCCATACAGTAAGTTTCAACTTGAAAGAAGTAACTCAAGATGAAAGCAGCAACCATAAATAAAGTGCTGACTTGAGCTGTCTTCTGACATCATCTCTTCATCTGCAACTACCTCGGGCTTCCTGCTTATCTTTGATTCTAAGTTCTTTTAACTATTAATATCCATACCTGTAAGAAGGCCTTCTAGAAAGAATCTCTCTTCGTTTTTGGGAATCAGTAACACTATCCACTGACTCCTGCGAATCTTCACTTTCTGCAATAGTAGAAATCTGAAAATAAAGATGAATTTTATCTTGATAATCAAATTTAGTTCCTATAAAATTTTTATGGAATTTTAAGGAAAATTCAAATTAAAAAAAATTTCAATTTTATACATGCGTCAACAGGAAAAAAAATGGTTCTATCACTCTCTCACTCTTCGTTCCCCCTTTACATCCTCTATATATTATAAAAAATGAAATTAGAGAACTTAATTTTTTTTTTTTTTGTCAATATCAAACTTTTTTGATACTCAAATTCAGAGTAATTTCTTTCAGGATTCCATGAAATCAACCTTGAATGCATCAATGTTACTTGTCAGTTATCGTCTTTGTTCTTAGAAGAAAACTACCTAATAAAAGTAAAGTTTCTGATCTGGGGAAAAGAATGACTGACTAAACATAGTCATAAATCTATAGTGACTATACAAATACTTTTGTCTCCTGCATAAACACTTGTGAATGTATTTACAATTGTGCAATTAAGATCAGTGACCTCCCCACAATGTTCTAGATTGTTGTTTTGGCCAAGTTACAAAAAAACCCCTCTGGTTGTTGACATAATGTTTCAAAGTTGGCATTCTATAATTTTTTAAAAAGCAAAACTTTAAGGTAAAGAACTGTGTATTTCTGGGAAGTATCACTGAACTCAAAAGAACTGTACAAATAAAGATTTCACATGGGATGATCATAATAAAAGCAACTAACATTTATTGAAAGCCTTGTATTAAATCCATTCTATAGGAGAAAAAACTAAGGCACCAAGAGGTTGAGTAACCCAAGTCCAAAGGTAGGAAGTAGTGGAGCCGCGAGGCATTTTCAGTCCATTTCTAGACTAGGAGTTTGCTCCCCTTGCATGCTTGTCTGCCAAATTTATACTGCCAAGTTTCTTTAGTCTAACCAGCAAGAGGCTGCCATGCTTTAAGGAATTCAGTGCTTACAGATTTAACCAAAGCAAAAGGCTCTGTGTGGGTTAGCATCACATCTAAATTTCTGGCAATGGCAGTAAGAAAAAATATATTCAGAAGTAGTGAGAAATTCCAAAGGTATTGGTTTATGTGGTCTGAGTCTCAGAGCTCTGGAAAGTGGGCCTCATTTTGACAAGGTTTTGTGATGTGCATACTTACTTTAAAATGAACTATGTTAGGTAAATCTAGTAATTCTCTGCAAAATATACTGACAATGATATAATACACTCTATCCAAACACTTAAAAAGTCTAAGTATAGTCTTAAATACCTAAAAATTAATGTTGCTGTTGTTGCTGTTTGCCGTCGAGTCAGCCTCGACTCATAGCGACCCCTCCTTGGGTTTCTGAGGCAGTATTCACTACGTAAGTAGCATTGCCCAACCTTCCTTCCGAGGAGTGGCTGGTGGGTTTGAAACGCCAGCCTTCTGGTGAGCAGTCAAGTACCTTAGGCAACATTTAATTAATTTAAATTGATTTAAAAAAACTGCAAGGCTGAATTTCAGATGTGATTCTCTGCAGAGCAATAATGCTATAGTTATTGCTAAAAGAGCATACGAAACTATTTCCAACTAATTGGCAGCTGCTGTGGCTATCCCATTCAATGTAGATAGTCTGCATAGACTTTCTCAGATACAGATCAGACACCATGAAAAGGCCTTAATAAAGGGTCAGAATTTCAAGAAGTAGTAAGACTGAACTCTAAGTGGACGTGGACAATATCGTGATAAGCACTGTTTACCTCACTGATACTCCACTCAGGGCTTAGCTGCTTTGTTACTCCTTCTCCCGCTGCCCCTTTTGCCTAACTCTCATATTCTCTCCATCCTTACAACCTTTTAAGGACATACAGTGACTCTGAAATAGGAAAAACTTAATATACCCAAATTGAAACTCCAACATGCTACACAAACTACTCAAAGAACAATTTCAAATAAAATAAAGATTGTTTTTTCATATGTAGTCTTTTTCTTCTTTTCTTTTCAAGCTCAGTTGATCTATGGCCCTTACTGGACAAAAGATTTCCTCCTATAAATTAAAAAATACAAAAACCAAACTAATTGCCATCAAGTCGTTCTGACTCACAGCGACCCACATCGGGTTTACAAGGCTGTAAACCTTTACAGAAGTAGATCACCCAGTCTTCCTTCCAAGGAGCAGCTGGTGGATATGAACCACTGACGTTCTGGTTAGCAGGCAAGTGCCTTATCCACTAAGCCACCAGAGCGCCTTCCTATAATCTAAAAGACACTGTTTATTCAGACAGAAAGAACTAATACTATGCAGTTGATGACAACTGTCTAAATGTAAAGGGAATTTAAAACTATTCACATCACATTACTAAAGTAATATTTCTTCTCTGAGGACATTATCCAAGGAGAATTTAGAACTATTAAGCTAATTCCTCTGGAAGGAAGATGGGGCAATCTACTTCCGTAGGGATACTGCCTCGGAAACCCAAGGAGGGGTCACTATGAGTCGGGGCCGACTCGACGGCACATAACAACAACAACAAGCTAATTCCTATGGACTGTCTAAAAACAAACAAACAAAAAACACACACCATAATAAACCCGTATTTCTGAGGTTAATAAAAATCTTATCAATAAACCTTATAAATAATTATCATTCAATAGGTTTTAAAAATTATTAGTAACAACCATTTTACAAGTTACATATGACATTCCAATGACAGATCCCCTTCCTCTGGTCCTCACCTGCTGTCATCTGTCCTTTTATTAACCCCTTCTTGAGATTCTTTGATATTGACTACTTGAAAATTTCAAAAAAGCTAAACCACCACTTGCATAAGTAATATTTAGATCTGTATTTCTCAAGCTTTTTGTTTGTTTAAAACCCATACTTCCTACTGTTATACATGGAAGATAAAAAAAAAAATCTCATTATTTGAAATTTCAAAATAAACTATACAGTGACTAGACCCAAATCAAAAGTGTGGTAATATCAGATGTTTTCTCAAACTATACATGGTCCCCTGCAAACCTAAGTCTCTGACTTATAAGATATTCGAGTTACAATGAACTGCACTTGTGACCATCTTTTTAGTAAGGAGGAGGAAGGAGAGAAGTTGTCAAAAAATTTTACAGTGAAAGGATTACCTAAATTAAATCAGGGCTTCAGTTGCTTGAAAACAGAGACTCCAACACTGACTGCTTTGTTAAAATACACAGGGAGATACAGGAGGCAGTGAGATGTTACCCAAGAATATATGAAAGAAGAAAGAGGACCATACAAACAACTCTCACTAACTTTCTGACTAGAAATGCCATTCTCATACCAAGGGATAATCCAGATGATCCAGAACCTTCCACAAGTGGAATTATTCTGCAACTGACAAATATCAACATTGACCAACTGTAAGTTTATATGTAGTATTTCCAACCCCCAAAGACAAACCAAGATCATATTTATAAAGATAAAATAATGAAAGCCAATACTAATGAAAACTAAAACAAAAATGAGGTATTCAGCTTACCTTAAAACCACCTTAGAACCGACTTACGAAGGAGTTGTTGGAACGGAACCCAGTTGTAAGTCGGGGACTACCTGTACTTTCCCTGGGCAGACTCATGGCAGGTGCAGATTTTTACTCACTAGGTCAAGAAGCTTAATAAAAGTCTATAGCAATGATCCAAATTCTTTTGATCTACAGATCGCTTATAAATAAGAAAAATTTACATAAACGTATCTTAATCTAACAAATTTTATTATTTATATTATAAAACAAAAATTTTTGAGATAAAATATTAAAATTTCTAAATTTCTTGAAATCATTTCATGTTTCACGAATAGTGAGAATAATAAGATTTAATATACTTCATTAAAAATATTCCTTTAATATTTTGTTACAGTGACAAAAATCTGATTCTAAGTTCAAGTTTTTCAAATGTGATTCAATATCTACTACTGTTGAAAAATATCTCACAATGACATGTAGATAGAAAATTAAGTACACTTTTGGCCATACTTACTAAATAAGATAACCATTTTCCATTTTTATGCATGCTTTTGATGAGATTTGTCTGGTGTATTTCTATCTCCATGCTCTTAGTCAGTTTTTGCACATTAGTAAAGTGTTAAGAGTTTCACATTTTTAACAAGTAAGTTAATCACCTACTGAAAACTCCAGAAGATTTCTGAATAGTTTAGAAAATTCTATTTATACAATTTTTAAAGAGTGCAAATTTCTATTTATTTTGAGAGAAAAACTTACATCATTTGTGGTAAAAAAAAATAAATATAAGCACAGAAACATTTCCAAGCTTTCATTTTCATTTATTTTTAAATAATTAGTTTAGGTTTCTTTTCTTCTCTCTTATTAATTTTTTAAACTGTAGCCTGGATGAAACTTTACAGAGCAAATTAGTTTTCCATTCAACAATTTATACATATTTTGTTTTGTGACATTGGTTGTAATCCCCTTAATATAACAGCTCTCCTCCCACCTCCTCCTCAAGTTCCCTATTTCCAGTCCTCCTCCTTTCCAGACCCTTCTGGCCTAAGCTTTGTTTTTGGGTCCAAATGTCCATTTTAAAAATCCTCTTGCCATAGCACAAGTTTCTTTCTAATAGCAGTTACTCTCTCATGCACAGTTAAAATGTCACTTTTCTCCAGAAAGTATAGGTCAAATAGATTTCTTTTTTCAAAAACATCTGTCAAACATATTATTATTCCCTCAAAGTCTTTGCTGGTTATTGTTAAAAAGACCAGAAACTTTGGAAAACATGTCTTATGTAATAGAAAAACAAATTCATCTTTAAGACAGATAACTCCTGTTATGTGATCATCGAGTCTCTGTTACAGATAATTTTCAGGGTTGTCTCCATCACATTACAAAGTACCATTAAGATTCTATTGAAAGTCTCATCTCCAACTACTCTCCTTGCTCACTCCACTGCATCAACACTTTTCTGCTATTTCTTGATACACCAAACATACTCTCACCTTAAGAGTCTTTGACTTGATTTTCCTTCTACCTGGGATGTTCTGCCACAGCATGGCTTGACCTCCTTCACTGTCTTCTG